GCAGGAGGCCACCGGTTGATGCTGCCTATAGGAAGTTGTGTTTCCCCCTGGCAAAACACAAATCTATGTACAGTGGTACCTCGGGTTACATATGCTCCGCTAACCCAGAAATGTTACCTCGGGCTAAGAACTTTGCTTCAGGATGAGAACAGAAATCATGCTCTGGCGGCGCGGACCTCCGGAACGAATTAAGTACCACTGTATCTCGGGTTAAGTACTTAATTCGTTCCGGAGGTCCGTTCTTAACCTGAAACTGTTCTTAACATGAAGCTCCACTTTAGCTAATGGGGCCTCCTGCTGCTGCCGCGCTGCCGGAGCATGATTTCTGTTCTCATCCTGAAGCACTGTATCTGGATTCTTTTCTAAGCATTTGGGTAGGCCACCTGCAGTTTGGAGGCCAAATTTGGTCTCCTCCCTGTGTCCTACTGTTCAGATGCAACCCGTCTATTGCCCCCGTTAATCTTCTTTCCAGAAGTTGCATCATGGACAGTCAGATCTTATTACACCACATTGTGGGCCTAGCATTACAGTGGTACCTTGGTTCTCAAACATAATCTGTTCCGGAAGCCCGTTCCAAAACCAAAGCGCTCCAAAACCAAGGCATGCTTTCTCATAGAAAGTAATGCAAAATGGATTAATCCATTGCAGACTTTTAAAAACAAGCCCTAAAACAGCAATTTAACATGAATTTTATTATCTAATGAGACCATTGATCCAAAAAAGGAAAGCAATAAACAATGTCCTGCAGTCACACAATCAATCGAACAGTCACAAAAACAAAAAAAGGCAGCAAAATAAATAGCAAAAACAGACAGACCTCAGCGTAACACTCAAAACGGAAGTGTGGCACTCAAATCGGAGCATGTTCGGCTTCCGAAAAAAGTTTATAAACCGGAACACTTACTTCTGGGTTTGCAGTGTTTGGGTTCCAAGTTGTTTGAGCACCAAGGCGTTTGAGAACCAAGGTACCACTGCACTTGAACTCTGAGCCATGTTCTTTCATTCAAAGCAGCTTTGGCAGCTGAGCAGTGGCAGGGAAGTTGGGCCAGGGGAGGAAGGCCATGTACATTTAAAGCACAATGGTATCATTTTAAACAGCCATCCCCCCCTCCAAGTATTCTGGGAGCTGTAGTTTAAGGGTGCTGAGTGCTGTTTGGAGACCCCTCCTCCCCAGGGCCACGGTTCCCAGTGGTTTCACAATCAAACCCTCTGGAAACTGCAGCTCTGTGAAGGGACTGGTGATCTCTGAATACGCACATACATACATAATTTTATTTGCGCAACCCGTGCTCAAGGTGACGTACAACATAAAAAAAAATACATAACTACAACGTAACAAAAGTAGTCATAAAAATAATTAAAACACTTAAAAATATGCAACCAAACTGAACAATTGCCACATAAATCACAACAACATTTTTTTAAAAGATACAGAAAACCACCAGAAGAAACCCACCACCCAACAAACGCCCCCCAAGCAGCCCTCCAACCCAAGAGCCAGTTTTTGTAGCTGGAGTCAGTCCAGGCTAGGTGGAAAAGGCCGGCAAGGCAGAGAGAAGATATTCTAGGACTCACAGCCAAGATGTTAATGCGCTTAACAAATTACCTTATTTTTTGCACCATAACACTCACTTTTTTCCTTCTAGAAAGTAAGGGGAAATGTCTGTGCGTGTTATGGAGGGAATGCCTGCGGGTGGCGGGGGGGATCTGCTGCAGTCGTGAGCAGAGGATCCATGGTTCCCCTTCCTTCCCTCCTCCGTGGTTACAAAGCATGTATCCACATGGATCCTCAGGATTTTTGCATTGGGCTACTCCAAACTCACTGTCAGATCACATGTCTGTGGCCACAGCATGAACCACAAAAATCATATATCCACTATTTCATTTAGAATATTTTTTTTCTTGTTTTCCTCCTCTAAAAACTACGTGCGTGTAATGGTCTGGTGCGTGTTATAGAGCGAAAAATACGGTACAGTTCCCATATGGGCAAAGCCATGACAGTTTAAAGTGGTATGATACTGCTATAGGTGTACAGTGGAGGGGGGCAAGATAAGTTACTCTGAGTAGTTCCATGGAGGAAGAGCAGGTTATCAATGAAGCTGCAAGCTGAATGCTGGAACATTCAAGGTCCCATCTGCACTGTACACCTAGAGCAGAATCATGCCATTTTAAACAACCATGGCTTTCTAAAAAGATGATAATAATAATAATAATGGGAACTGTAGTTTGTTGAGGATATTAAGAGTTGTTAGGAGACCCCCTACCTCTCTACAGAGCAACAGTTCCCAGAGTTACCTGGGAAGAGGAATCGATCATTAAACCACTCTGGAACTGCAGCTATGTGAGGGGAATAGGGGTCACCTAATACCTCTCAGCACACTTAACAAACTACTGTTCCCAGGGATACTTTGGTGGAATATTGAGACTGTTCAAAGTGGTGTGAATGTGGCATAAGAATAGTTTGATTAAAACATTCGTATCCTGCCTTTCCTCTGGGAAACACAAACTGGGTGCATGTCTCCCATGTATCCTGCCCTGTTTTAGAAAATTGGGCTTTAATGCTTTTGCATTAATGCAGCATTGACCCCTGCTCTCTGAATTGCGAGGTGCTGTCACCTTTACACTTTGAAAAGATCCCTGGCCCTGAATGGTGTTGGCTCATGAAACAGAGCCACACAGAACGGGTACGACTGCATGTTTACATGTGAGAGTGCAAGTTTATACTGCTGCAGCTTCTCTTGTTGCAGTCAGCCCCCTTCCCAGATTAAAAAAAGGCCCCAGCTGTGCTCCAATTCAAACAGCCACTAGTGGACTAGTACATTGCAGGGGGCTTTGGATTCCTTCTAGCTCGGCAGTTCTGTGATTCCATGACCAAATCCTACAATGGGAGGAGTCGCTAGATGTTGACCACCCACAATAACCAGACTTTGCCCAAGTCCCCGGTGAGGCACTGGCACAGTTTACCCACCTGATACTGCAGTGGAAGGAGCGCTGGGTTCTCCGTATCCAAACTCGTTCACAGCCACCACCCGGAATTCATAGCTCACTCCCTGCTTCAGCCTGTCCAGGCCTACTGTATAAGACGTGGCGCCGCGGGGAATGTCCTTCACAAACAGGTCCCACAACCCTTCGTCTAGAAAAGAAGCAAGGAAAGGGGTTTGGGGGAGCATTCCTGGACCTTTCACAGAAACATGGCGTGAGTGCTGGCCACCGATGAGCTCCACTCCCAGAGTTCACAAGGATAACCTATGTGCAAGGGTAGGAAATCCCATTGTGTGCAGTCGCGCAAGTGGCCTTCCAACTGCACGCTGAAATATGCCAGTATCAGGTGTTCCTAACTGATGGGGGAACACAGCACATGATGTGGAGCCCATCCTTTGCACTTGCCAAGACTCCAGGTTCATTCCTTGGCACCTCCAGCTAGAAGGGTCAGGTTGGAGGAGATGGGGGGAAGCTAGTAGCCATCAATAGCCCTCTCCTCCATGAATTTGCCTAATCCAGGTGGGTGGTCTTCACTGCCTCCTGTGGGGTCCACCGTTCAACTATGCGCTTTGTGAACAAGTCCTTTTAAATCTGTCCTGAAACTTCCAACATTCAGCTTCATGGGACGAAAGCATAACTGGTTTATGGAATTCTTGCTTCAAGAGAACCTAAGAACAGGAGAAGAACCTGTTGGATCAGCTCAATGGCCCATCTAGTCCAGCATCCTGTTCTCACAGTGGCCCACCATGCGCCTGTGGGAAACCCACAAGCAGGATCCAAGCACAGGAGCATTCCTTGCATGGCTTCCAGTCATTGGTATTCCAGAAGCAATACTGCCTATGGAGGCAAAGCATAGCCAAAGCCCCTACTAGCTTTTGATGCCCCCCTCCTCCATGAATCTGTCCAATCCTCTTTTCAAGCCATCCAATTTGATGGCCAACTGCCTCCTGTGGCAGAGAGTTCCATAGTTTATGTGCTGCATGAAGAAGGACTTTCTTTCTGCTGTCTTGAATCTTCACCGGATGCCCATGAGTTTTAGTGTTATGAGGGAGAAGAACTTTTCTCTACCGCTTTCTCCATGTCCTGCGTAATTTTATAAGCTTCTATCCCATCACTCCTCGCTTGCCTTTTCCCTAAACTAAAAAGTTTCAAAGGCTGCAACTTTTCCTCAAAGAGGAGTTGCTTCATCCCCTTGATCAACTGGGCTGCTCTTTCCTGAACCTGCTTGAATTACTGTACAGAAGAGGCATTCAATGCCCACAAAACTGGTTTCTAAGAGCCTAAACGGTACGATTTTTGTCCATAAAGGAACTGTGTGCAAGGCAGGGGAAAATAAGACATTTCCTTTAAAACAAAAACAAAAAAACAACAACAATAATCCTACAATGTAATAAGGAAAGCCAAGACTTTTATTTAAAGTCAGAGGGCAGATACACAGCAACCAAGAAGGTAGCTTGCAGTACATAAAAACAAATAAAAGCTTCATTTCATTCTGCACCACATCCGTGTAATAGAACAGGCTGTCTGTGTTAGTAAATACTGAGAATTTCAATTTGAGGGCTGTCTGGGTGGTGGCTTCCCTCTATAAAGGCAAGATCCCATTGGAGGATCCCATTAGTGAAGTGACTGGGAATACCTGCTTTTGCTAAATTAGGGCTTTCTGCCATGATTACCTGGGTATTACAACAGCCACTTGGTCCACAATGGAGGTGGGGGTGGAGAATCCAATTACCTGGAGAAGATCTACCAGTTCTGCTTGCTAGTTGGCCTTTTTCTTGACCTGGAGCTGCTATTCTTGCAGATTTCTCTCAAAACCACTTAAATGAGTTGTGTGCACAGGCATTTAGAGTGTCATCCTGCTGAGGTTTCCCTACTTGTAAGAGTCTGGGTCTGTCCTAGACAGCCTATATACCCACAGGAAGCTTCACGCTGAGTCAGGCCATTGGTCCATCTGGCTCAGCATTGTCTTCACTGACTGGCAGCATCCCCACTATGGTTTGAGACAGGAAGTCTCTCCAAGCCCTACCTGGAGTTACTGGGGATTGAAGCAGGGACCTCCTGCAAGTGAGGCAGATGCTCTACCACTGAGCTATGGCCCTTCCCCAATCATATGATGCTTCCTCCTAGCTCAGTAGCCTGGACCTCAGAGAATGGTGCTTCCCACCACCAGAGATCCCTTCAGCTGGAGATGCCAAGGCTGTGCTTTGGGCTGTCTCCTTTTTATGCAGAATAGTAGCTCTTCTTCCTTTGAATCACCAGCCTGCCTTATACTGCAGGCCCATCTCTAGCCCACTGTGTTGTCTAATCTGAATGGGAGCTGCTTCCCAAGGACTTGGGGAGGGGTCTCTCTTAGCCCTGCTACTCAGCCTTCTTCAACCTTAGGCCCTCCAGATGTTGTTGGGCTCTGACTGCCAAACTGGTGCCAAGCATATTGCTCTGCTTTCCTTTGGACCAAATCAGAGAGGCTGAGAGGGGGGTCTGGGGTCTTGTTGTCTGGCAACCCAGGACCTCCATCCACACTGCCCAGGCTTGCACCGCGGGGAAGTCACTTCAGTTCTGCTAATGCAGCAATTTGACTTCACCCCTGGAGGCACACTCCATTGCCTCTCGAGACAGATGGATGCCCAAAACACCAGCTTTTCTTTTGAGGCTAAAAGGGAACACTCTAATCACCATGTGCTAAGGCTTTCTGTAACCAAAAGCCATTGCAACGAGCTTCCTGCCTTCAAAATGTTTGCTTGAAAGTGTCAGAAAACAACGCATGGGGGGGGGGGAGGCCATTTGGTTAATAGGACCTGGAGGTTGGGCTGCATTTTTCATTCCAGAGAGATCACTTGTGGGCTGCAAGCAATGCACCCCCTTCCCCAACACTTGATAAGGGAACCCTAGAATGCAAAAACCTGATAAAGGGCTGCTTATGATTAAGCAGGGAGAAAATACGCTTCCTATGCCTCTCACACAGAGTCCCCGGCCCAGCTGCTCCACCCCAGTTCTTGGGTAATGTACTGTGAGATGCAATGCAGCTGGCTGTGGAGTTATGAGAGGACAGCTTGCCATGGGCTTTTTGAAACACTTGTCCTTTCCCTAACTTTGCTTAGGCTGTACACACATTTTTGCAAAAGAAGGGGGAAATGTAAAGACCATAAAAGGGAAATTTCTTCCTGGTGGGGGCAGGGTAGAGGGAAAGAATCCTGTTATTATGAATCCCTCGCTGCTTCCTAAGCCCATCCAAGTTGCCTACAAAGGGGTGGGGGCGGTGGTCAGAGGGAAGACACATCTTGCGCCAAAACACTTTAAACCTCCTACCAGATCCCGGAGCAGGCGCAGGCATTGCCAGAGAAGGTAATAATGACTCCCACCTGGCCTCACTACAGAAAGGACAAAGCAGAGCTGGAAAAATATTCAGAAAAGAGCAGCCAAGGGGTCGAGGGGGTGAAGCAACTCCCCTGTGAGGAAAGCTTGCAGCATTTGGGACTTTTTCATTTATAGAAAAGTGAGCAAGAAGCGACACAAGCGTTAGTGGCATAGTGGTGAGCATAGGTGCCTTCCAAGCAGTTGACCTGGGTTCGATTCCCAGCCAATGTGCCTTGTATGGAATAGCTCCGTCAGCAGAGCATGAGACTCTTAAACTCAGGGTCCTAAGTTTGAGCCCCATGTTGGACGAAAGATTCCTGCATTTCAGGGGGTCAGACTAGATGATCCTCGTGGTCCCTTCCAACTCTACAGTTTCCATGATAGAAGTTCATAAAATGATGCCTGACATGGAAGGGTGGATGGAGAAGCGTTTTCCTCCCTGTCTCCTAACATTAGAACTTGTGGGCATTCAGGGATGCTGGAGTTTGGAAGATTCAGGAGGAACAAAAGAAGTGACTTTTTCACGCAAGGACGGATCTCATTCCCCCCAGGATGGCCACCAGCTTGGATGCCTTTAAAAGAGGATTAGACAAATTCCTGGGGGTGGAAGAAGGCTACCCCTGGCTACCAGCCAGGATGGATGTGCTCTGCTTCCATGCCGTGATGCTTCTGAATACCAGTTGCTGGAAACCATAGGAAGGAAGAGTGGGTTTGTGGGTTTTGCACTGAGGCATCTGCTTGGCCACAGCAAAAAGAGGGTGCTGGATTAGTTGGCCAACCGGCCTGATCCCGCAGGCTCTTCGGGAGTTCTCACGCTCTTTTTCCGGCGCCTCAGAAGCACTCCTGCACTGTGTGCTTTTTTAATCCTTCGGAGGGGGTGAGCGGCAGGCACCGCGCGAGCTGCAGGTGTTAGAACAGACGCGGCCCCGACACAAGAGCATGATTTCACGGACAATTAGTCAGGTGCTCTGGGCTGAAGCAAACTGCCAGTCAACCCACAGAGGCTCCTAGACCTGATGGCGTGCAGGCCACTAACAGATGCCTGCCAGGCTGGAGCAGGAGATGGGGGCGGCTGGAGAGCCCTCTCTTGCACACGCACCACCAGGGATTTCCCTGCCCTGCTTTTTGGGGTCGGAGAGACTGTGCTGTAAATGTCGCTCCCCCTGCCGCCCCAGAAGGGCCCGACAAGAACCGGGGTTAATTTGTTTTTAAGGAGGAAAGGCTGAGTTTATGGCACAGACCAGATGCCAAGCGAAGGCTGGCAAACTGTTGACGTGCTGCCAGAGGGTGGGACAAGGCAGGGATGGTGGGGGGTGGCTGTTGTGGCACAGGGATGAGGCAGAGAGGCAGAGACTTTGCATTTGACTGGCTCTTGCTGGTTTGCATCCACGTCCGAGATGGAATAAGTGGAAGCAATGCAATAGGGGGATTGTGCCAACAGGCACTCTTGGTTGCTACTTCACTGGAGCCTCACCAAAGCCAGGGCATTTTTTTAAAGCTGTAGCAGGTCATGGTCATCAAACCATTGGGCGGAATGGAAGGCTGCTGGCTGGGTTCCTTAGCCACCTCCACAATGGATCGATACCTCTTGGTCCTGTTGTCACAACCAACAATACCCCGCACTGCAGGGGTTTGAGTCCCTTTCAACTCTACACTTCTATGATCCTCTGATATTCCCTTACTTCTAGGTTGGCAATCAGAGACTGGCACCTTTCACTGCTGGAAACTGGTAGTAAAGAATTGCTTGCTGTTCTGATCCTGCGCCTTCTAGCTGTTTAAGCAGGTCCAGCAATCTGGGGCAGGAGCAGCTGGTACTTCTCAGGGGGCTGCACCTGGCCCTGTATTGCCCCTTCTGCCCCAGCTGTAAGGTTTTCTTACTTGGCTGGCTGGTGATCAGTAGCAGGAAAAATTTCTGGTGGAGGCATCAGACCTCAGTTTGAGGTTTTGTTTTTTTATTTTAAAAAAACCACCTTCATCTGTTTGTTTTCTGTCTTTTAAAATATGCTTGCCCAGCCAGATTCTCTGGAGTTGGGTGAGCTCAAACAAACAAACAAACAAATAGGCATAGCTTGAGGGCTTTCTTTAAAAAAATAGTATGGTAAAGGACCCCTTTGATAGTGGGAAAAACACTGAACGCTTGTCAGGTAGAAGCAACTGGAGGTAACACCCAGCGTGGTTTCGCAGTGCATTTTCAGTTCCCTGGCTGAGAGCTACAGCAGCAGTTGGGAGGAGGAAGAAAAGAAAGAATGCAGCATTTAATGTTTAGGGTAATGAGGCCTATAATAGATGACAGCTGAGATGTGGAACCCTAAGGTAATGGTAAGTTGTTTAAATATTGACAAAGTGCTCACGCTTTTCATTTGCCTATTAAGACGCCTTGATTGTGGTTGCACAAACACAGAGGTCCTTCCCCCCTCTGGGGTGTTATACACAAAGAGAGCTGGTCTGGGTCAGCCATTTGCCTCCCGCTCAGGGCAACACATCGCTGTCCAGGAGCAAAGACGCAGCAAAGGCGCAGCATAATCTCCAGCGTTAGTTGTAGAGCAGTGACTCAGGGAGGGGAACTGTTGCCTCTTCTCTCCGGCTGAGCTCTGAACTCGGAGAGAGAGAGAGAGAGAAACTCTACACAAAAGCGCAGGAGGGGCATAACTGAGCGAGATGCAGAACGTTTTAATGAAGCTGAAGCATGTGTGAAATAAGCCAGAGATCCAATTATTATCCTCCCCTTGCCTGGATCGCATTTCACGCTCTCTGCAGATTCTGCCTGAAAGGAAGAATAGGAATCCCAGCGCACAAACAGCCTCGTTTGTTTATTATGGCAGCATGAACGGGATTAAAATAATCTGTGGGAGAATTAAGAGACTCAGTTGTTAGGCCCAGCGAGGGGCGCTCTCTTTCTATGCACTCCTCGCCCAATCTGTTTGCAGATGCAGTGGAGTGGGTCCAGGCTGCACAAAGCTGTGCTAATGTAACTGAGAACCTCACTGGAAGGACTCTCTCAACTGTCTCCAAGTGAGACGACGCACGACATACCAGCAGGTCTGGCACAGAGAATGGATACAGCATTGAACAATGGATATGACCCAGGGAGGCCAGAGGAAGCTGCCAAGACTTTGCAGATGATGGAAGGCCCAGCCCAGGACGTTTTGTCGCTTTGGGCTAAACAGAAAATGCCTCTATTTCTGCCCACCATCATAGCTGTGCATGGAGAAGGTGGAGGGCAGCAAGGAGGGCAGGTAGGCACAGAAGAGGCAGCAGAGGAGGCCACATCTGCTGCCTGAGGCAACTGCCTCGCCTCATGGGTGGCCTGGGCTCTGGTCCAGCAGAACCTTCTCCTTTGCAAATCTTGTTGAAATGATTGAAAACTGAGCAAGGAGAACACAAGAAGAACCATGCCAGATCCGCCAATGGCCCATCTAGTCCAGCATCCTGTTCTCACAGTGGCCAACCAGATGCCTCAATGGGAAACCCACATGCAGGATCCGAACACAAAAGCCCACTCCCTCCTGTGGTTTCCAGCCACTGGCATTCAGAAGCATTGCTGTCTCCAACTATGGAGACAGAGCAGACTCACCAAGGCTGGTAGCCAATGAGAAACCTTTTATCCACGAGGTTCCTTCTTCCTGGGTTAAGTCACCTAAAAACCTGCAAGTCAGGGCTGGCACTTAGCCTCCCTTGCAACTCAGGAGAATCTGCCCTGAGCAAGAAGGAATCGTGGCTCCAAGCCAGGAGAAGAGCTATTCCAAATGGTCGCAGCTAAGGTGCCGTTCTCCTAGCAGGAGGCAGGCCAAAGTGAGGGCTCGTCCACACTGCCAATAGCCATGTGCCGAAAAGCACAGGGCTGAGGGGTTTCCCCCTTGCCCTGCTCCTTTCCCCAGGGAAACTCACTCTTTGGTGCTAAATTGGAGCAGACATCAATCTGGAGAAAACCTGAATTTCCGGTTGTTCCGACTGAACGCTAAAGAGCGGCTTTCTCTGAGGGAAAGCAGTGGCACAAGAAGCCCTAAATCTCACCCCAGAGAACATGTGGGGTCAAGTGTGAAAGGAGAAATCATCCAGATGTCAATGTTTTGGAGCTTGTCAAAATGTGATAAGATATTACCCCCTCCCCAACTTTTCCCGCTCCCATCTTCCGTGCCCCCACCCCACCCCAGACCATGTTTTTTAGGGATCAGATGATCTGCACACTCTCTCTCTCCATTTCTGTGGCCTACCTGATGGTCTGGTTTCTATGATGTAGCCAGTCGTGGGTCGGCTTCCTGGAACTCCCTCAGTCCAGTATAAAGTCAGTCCAGAGGCTGTTTTTGAAACCAGCACGTGCTGAGGGGAACCCGGGGAGCCTATAGGGAGGGGTGAAGTGGAAAGAACAAGCATGAGGCAGGGTGAAAGGAATAGCCATTTCCACCATGTGGTCCAGTCACTTTGGAGAGATGAAAAATCAGGAGGCCTCTGGCAAACAGATGCCTCTTTTGAGAAGAGAGTTACCTGGTGCAGCTCCTCTGTTCTCGACTCTCCCATTAACAGGCTCTGCACCACGCAGGCTGGGTCATGCCATGAGCAGACAGGACAACCCTGTGTTCACTGTGGGAAGACAACTGCCCTGTGGAGCCTGGACCGCTGTGTCATGAAGGCCACTGCCCATCTCTGCCAAATGGCCGCCTGAGAAACTCAGACTCCCTTAGAAAAAGGGGCCAGGTCATTTCCAAGCCTTTACAGCTACAAAGATTTGATTGAATGCGCAGGATAACTGTTGAGGAGCCAGGAGCCAGAAAGCTGGGGGATTTATTTGTTAATTCCCCCCCCCCCCAATTTTCAGTGGCAGGGATTCAGAGCCCTACTTAGGTCTGCCATCTTTGTTAGTAGCAGTGGCAGAATATGCAAAAATAATAAGAATAAGAATAACCCAGTATTAATACAAAATATGCAAATTTGCCTGATTTATACAGGTTGTGGAATTCAGGGTTTTTTTGGGGGGGAGGGAGGGATGAATCCAAAAGCCACAGTAGAGTGAGGACCCGATTGTCAGTTGGGTGTAGTTTGGGGAAAATGACCCATGCAGTAGGGTCCCCTCCCAACTAGTCTGTGGGCTGAGGCCTCTTATGTAGAGACACCTGCACATTGCCACTGTCTGTGAAGGAGGACATGAAATCATGCCTTGCCGCTTAACTTTCCCCTGGCTTGAAAATGCCTTTTGAACACCTTTCCTTGCTGCTGGGTGCTGCGTTAATGCA